TCTGTCTCAAAAAAAAGATGACGATGACAACCTCAACAAAAAATAGCTGGGCTTTGGGGCGGATGTCTGTAGCTCCAACTACTTGGGAGGCTGAGGCAAGAGAATCGCTTAAGCCCAAGAGTTTGAGGTTGCTGTGAGTTGTGATGCCATGCACTCTACTGGGAGTGACAGAGTGAGACTCTGTCTCAAAAAACAAACAAAAAAATTAGGCTTGGTGCCTGTAGTTCAGCAGTTAGGGTGCTAGCCACACACACTGGGGTGGTAGATTTGAACCCAGCCCAGGCTTGCCAAACAATGACAACTACAAATATAAATATATATACATAGCCGGGCACTATGGTGGGCACCTATAGCCCCAGTTACTTGGTAGACTGAGGCAAGAGAATTGCTTAAACTCAAGACTTTGAGGTTGCTGTGAGCTGTGATGCCATGGCACTCTACGGACATAATGAGACTCTGTCTCCAAAAAAAAAAAAAAAAAAGAGAGAGAGAGGGAGAGCTCAGGATCTAGAGACTAGCAGACCTTCAAATCTCATTCTGTATGACCTTGAATAAATAACCTAACTTTGATTGTTTTCCATATCTAGAAAATGGATTGACTAAAAGTCCCTGCACCACATAGGGCTATAATGAAGATTGGAGAATGCTTACCCCATGGTAAATCTTCATCAAATTTGGGGTACTATGAAAATATAAGGTTCCATCCATGTCTTTGTGCATGGGAAAGACATGCGAAAAGGCAATAAGTAGTGATATAGGAAAGTGTGGCCAGGAAAGGACCCTCACTCTTTAGTAAACTGTACTCATGGCCAGGCTCCAGGGCTCACATCTGTAATCCTAGCACTGTTGGGAGGCCGAGGCAGATGGATTGCCTGAGCTCACAAGTTCAAGACTAGCCTGAGCCAGAGTGAGACCTTGTCTCTAAAAATAGCCAGGGCTCAGCACCTGTAGCTCAGTGGTTAGGGCAGTGGTCAAATACACTGAGGCAGGCAGGTTCAAACCTGGCCCAGGCCTGCTAGACAACGACAACTGCAACAAAAAAATAGCTGGCATTGTGGCAGGTGCCTGGAGTCCCAGCTACTGGGGAGGCTGAGGCAAGAAAATCACTTAAGCCCAAGAGTTTGAGGTTGCTATGAGCTGTGATGCCATGGCACTTTACTGAGGGTGACAAAGAGAGACTCTGTCTCTAAATAAATAAATAAATAAATAAAAATAAACACAGCCAGGTGTTGTAGCAGGCGCCTGTAGTTCCAGCTTCTCGGGAGGCTGAGGCAAGAGGATCACTTGAACACAAGTTTGAGGTTACTGTGAGCTACAAAGGCAATCCAACCACCTTGGCCTCTCCCAGAGTACTGGGATTACAGGCACCAGCCACCTCCCCCAGCATCCTGGTTTATTTATTTAAAAGATGGAGTTTTAGGGCAGGGCGCGGTAGCTCGTGGCTCAAGCCTATAATCCCAACACTTTGGGAGGCTGAGGTGGGTGGATTGAGCTCAGGAATTCCATATCAGCCTGAGCAAGAGTGAAACCCTATCTACTGAAAACAGAAAAGTGGCTCAGCAAAGATCAAGTTTTTGCTTTTGCTCTGCCCCCAAGTGTAGTGGTGCGATCACAGCTCACTGTCACCTTAACTTCTGAGGTTAAGCAAACCTGCCTCAGGCTGCTACTACATCTGGCTAGTTTCTTTCTTTTCTTTCTTTCTTTTTTTTTTTTGTAGAGATAGTCTTATTTTTGTCACTCTCAATAGAGTGCTGTCACATCACAGCTCATAGCAACCTCCAACTCCTGAGCCTAGGCAATTCTTGCCTCAGCCTCCCCAGTAGCTTGGACTACAGGCGGCCGCCACAACACCTTTTTTTTTCGTTGCAGTTTGGCCAGGGCTGGGTTTTAACCCACCACCCTCAGTTTACTCAGTGAACCACAGGTGCTGCCTTTCTTTTTTTTTTTTAAAACAGTCTCACCATGTGGTCCTTGGTAGAGTGCAGTGATGTCACAGCTCACAGCAACTTCAAACTCTTGGGTTCAAGCGATTCTTTAGCCTCAGCCTCCTGAGTAGCTGGGACTGCAGGCACCTGCCACAACACCTGGCTATGTTTAGAGAGGGGGTCTTGCTTTGGCTCAAGCTGGTCTCAAACCTGCGAGTTCAGGCAATCCACCCACCTTGGCCTCCCAGAGTGTTAGATTTAAAGGGGTGAGCCCCAGCGCCCAGACCCAAGAAGATCTCTTAAAGGTTGCTGTACTTGTTATTTAGATTTAAAACCAAACTATTGGGCTCAGCGTCTGGAGCACAGTGGTTACAGCGCCAGCCAAATACACCAAGGCTTGTGGGTTCAAATCCGGCCTGGGCCAGCTAAAACAACTGCAACAAAAAATAGTCAGGCATTGTGGTGATAGTCCTAGCTACTTGGGAGGCTGAGGCAAGAGAATCGCTTAACCCCGAGTTTGAGGTTGCTGTGAGCTGTGACGCCACATGACTCTACCAAGGGTGACAAAGTGAGACACTGTCTCCAAAATAAATAAATAAAATCAAACTGTTGGCTGATATGGTGGCTCACACTTGTAATCCTAGCACTCTGGGAGGCTGCCACTGGTGGATCGCTGGATCTTAGGAGTTGGAGACTAGGCTGAGCAAGAGCAAGACCCCACCTCTACTCAAAATAGAAAAACTACCCTGGAGTTGTCACAGGCATCTGTAGTCCCAGCTACTCAGGAGGCTGAGGTAAAAGGATCACAGTGAGACTGTCTCAAAAACAAACCCATATATTTCCCAGAATCATGACTACAAGGAAAAACCTTATTTAATCTGCTCCTAACCTAACACCTATGCACCTTCCTTTAACTTCCACAGCCACAACTTACTACTTAAAACTCAACTTTATGGCTGGGCACCATGGCTCACACCTGTAATCCTAACACTCTAGGAGGCTGAGGCACTGGATTGCTTGGGCTCAAGAGTTGACCTGAGGCTCCAAAAAAAAAAAAAAAACAACAAAGCTGGGCATTGTGGCAGGCTCCTGTAGTCCCAGGGGAGGCTAAGATTGCTTGAACCAAAGAGTTTGAGGTTGCTGTGAGCTGTGACACCAAGGCACTCTACCAAAGGTGACTACTGAGTGACCCTGTCTCAAAAGAAAAAACACAAAACAAAAAAACCCTCAACTTTACCCACTATCTTCAATGTTGTACCCAGTGACTTCTAAATGGCCTCAAGGCTGTCCTACCACCCAGCACCTACACATTACCTTCTAGATGGTTTCCTACTAGTCTCTATCCTTCAGGGCCTTAGGAGTTGTCTATGTTGACAGCCAGTGCAGGTGCTCAACAAGGGCTCCATTGTGACTCAAATTTGTCACATCATGAGCCAGGACAATTCTGACAATCCTTAGGCTCAATTACATCACCCAGCAAAGGCTTAACCAGCATGGCAGCTGTGGAATTTATGCCAAACCTTCCAGTTGCTTTTCTACATTGTGGGGAGACTGCACCCCCTCCGAACAAAAGACCACAAAGACTCCAACCAGCCCCAACCCAAAGATTTGCACAGGATGAACCTTAGCCCATCAGAATCCTTGGAAAAGGCAGTGGAATCTATCCACTCACCATGGA